CCCCCCGCTGCATCCCTTATTCGATAGTTCCGCACTAGTTCTAAATTCGACAAATAAGATCTAGTTCGTTCTGCATCACTTTTTCTATAGTTCCGAACCATTTCTAAATTCGTCACTTTAGATATCGATTTCTAGTGAAATAAACTGAAAAAATTAGTATTTTAAAAGTACCACTTTTCGCCGATTTTGGACTGGTGGTGATTTAGTTCATATCGTACTAGTTGCTTTTTGGCGATAAAGACCTAGTACGGAACTAGAAATTTGATTCACTAGTCCGCGGTTCCCTACAGGGCACATACAGATACAAAAATATTGCGCTTGTATTGGGAGCTTTGTCAACGCTGTGCACCCATGAACGAAAGACACAAGATCACGCCTTCCCGAAAGAAAGAAAAAAGTTATTTTCTAGCTGTTGAAATCTCGACGCCATCTTTGTTGGAAGAAGTAAACAACGAAGAGAACAAAAAAAAAACCGCGTAATTGTTGAACGCATGAATAATCATTTTTATTTTGCAAAGTCTTCTATAAATCACGTCGTTGTGTTAAATTATTCTTTACCTTATGTGTGCACACGTTGTCAGAAGCGAAAAGTAAGAAAATTGCAGTAAAAAGCCACCACCAAATTGTAAACAACGAACAAATGTAAACAAACGGCTAATGTCAAAGTCGCCCAACTTTTTATCTAAATGCGATTATAACGGGTTACTAAGAAGAGGGCGTGATCTTGTATTTTTGGTTCATGCTGTGCGCCACTGATGTAAATGTGTTTTCAAATGTTGAGTTTGAATCAATATCAGAGCGCGCGATTAGTGCATTATGTCATACCATGCATGTGTGTATGTGTTGACACCGCTGTGCATGCTTTGTATACATATCGTTAAAGTGCAAAACCGCGTATCAACAAAATGCAAAACCGCGTATGTTAAGTTTAGAAATTATTTTCTAGAGCGTAAAAACACTCATATTTCAAAATGGTTCTCTTTTTTATAAAGCAATCGCATTTCTGGCTAGTATATTTCAGGACGAATGGATAAGGATTGAGCCAAGAGCTTGTGTGAGCAGATCCAATTTTTGGCAGCCAATGTCAGTTATGCGGTTTTGCAGAATGACGATACGCGGTTTTTTACTTTAAACGACGATATACTCTCTTAATTACATATGAAAAGCATCCGAGACGTGCAAGTCGCCATCCGTGCAGTGGAAAATTATTCATTTTAATACGGGCGTATTTGAATTGAATATTTCCGTTATACGTAGTGTATGTATAATGGAAAAATCCATTTTGTTAACACTTTTCACTTGATTTAAATACGGCAATTTTTAAACGGTAATCAACTAAAAATGTTCAATTTTTACAACGCGTTTTTTTTTCTCAGTGTACATACTCAAAAATAGATAATTGTGTCTCGGTCAGGCTGTTTTTAGAACTTTTCTTTGCGGGTGGAAATCAAACCGACTGCCGAACGCCGAACGCCGACCGCCGCGCTTGTTCATATCGAATTTTAAGCGCGGTAACTAGCCCTTAATTGTTGAAAAATTTTGCAAATTTTTTTATTACCAAAATGCTCGAAAACCGCTCGAATGATTTGGTTTTTGTTTTCTTTAATCAAGAATTCAAGAGTTTTCCTTTCGTTTCGTATATGGGAAGTATTGGTTGATATCTTCTAAGTATGTTTATTTGATTCAAATATACGGTCATAAATGATTTCCTATACAAAATTACTTCGTCATCGTTTTGCAAACACGTGAATGCGCTGGAAGTGTGAAAAGGAGACAAAAAGTATGTATGTGTCCGTAAGACCATAAATACATACATACATATATGTATGAACACATGTATGCATAATACCCCTGCAAAAAATGGGACTAATCCGGGATGACTCCGGGAGCAAGGAAAGTTTTATATCCGTTCTTAAAATTCTCCAGTTGTGCGGTATTTCATAGCACGGTTATTCGCAAAGCGAAATAAATTTTTTCCTCTTCACTCCCTGGCGGCAACAATGACCCGGTTCTATAGTGAATGTCCTAGAAGCTTTACAGTATAGTAGGTGGCAATTTCAAAATGGGTGCGAATCATTGTTCTGTACCTTAAAAGTTTGAACGCATAATAATATTGGAAAATCACATCCATTGGGCCAATTGCAACGCAGGACCGTCGATATACTCAATGGTGCAACAGGTCGATTTAATCTGACCTTCACGGCCCCTTTTCTCACTTGGCTATTTTTAGTA